GAGAATTCCAAACCCAGGGAACAGCCCAGCTGAGGCAGAGCAAGCGTTTCCTGGGCTGCTGGATGCAGGCAGCCCCATCTCGAAATGCCCCACTGGTGATTCTAGGGAGTAGGGTTTGAGGAGGGAGATGACACAAAAGGTCTCTGGGGTTGGGAACTTCCCTGAGTCTGGGGATTTGACCAAGAATCTAAGCATAAGTAGAGATTAACAACTGGACAACCTGGGAGCGCAAGGCAAGTCAGGGTGGGGAGGGGAGAGAATCAGCTGCCTCCCTCTCTAGTTGCTGCCGTGTGGGAGTGGGGCCCAGTGATGCCAGATCCTTCTATGTTTTAAGAAGCCAGAAGTCCAGATTTGGATATAAAATCTCCCAGTATGTAAATGGGGTTCCGAAAACAAATGGCCCACAAACGTGGTGTGAGCGAAGCAAAACACATGTGTGAGCCCCTGGGCTCCTGCCGACCAGCTCTGGACCCTGACTCACACAGCAACCTGGTTCTTGTGGGGAAAGCTTTAGTGGGCATTCTGTCCGAGAGAAGGGCTGTGTACAAAGTGTACTCAAGGTACATTTCTCCTCTGGCTCCCTCCCAAAAAGGTCAGAGGATTCAAATCAAATTCAGATTTGTAGGTAAAAAGAAAACTATTGGCCATGGAAGCCAAGAGATTCTCACTAACGGTCTTGTTTTTCCACATCAAGATGTACAGGCCTGTAGAGGAGAAGAGGCTTGTCCAAGGTCACAAAGCCATTTGGGCAGAGCTTGGACCCAAACTTGGGGTTCTGACTCCCAGCACAGTGCTCCCTCTATCAGGGGGCCTAAAATAGAAGGCTGACCTTTTTGTGGTATTTCTGTGCTTGACACATGCCAGAGTTACTCATGAGTTCATCTTCCCAGAATAACTGGCAGAACGGGGCCAGAGGGCAGCAGGAAGACCCTGGGCTGCCCCTGTGAAACCCACGCTCCTGGAAAGCAGGGGATGGGGCTCGCCGTCGGTGTGGGCCTGCCTGCTTCAGGAGCACCCGCTGGGCCCCAGCTTTGGGGAGGCTCTTAGTGGGCCCAGGGGAGAGGGCTCTGGAGGCCAGAACGGATCCTAGGGGTGTGTTAGGGACCCGGGAGCTTGAGCCTGTCTAGCTCATGCCCCAGCTCATGCCCCCGGTACAAAATAATAATCATCGTAGGAATCTTGAAAAAATTCAGACAAGCACAAAAACTAAAACGAAAACTCACGTAATAAAACCACCTGGTTCTCCCATGACTTTAGCTTGGATCCCTGCACTCTGCTCTGCTCCACGCAAGGAGGGAGGCAGAGCCTGATGTTTTTTTTCTTTTCTTTCTTTCTTTCTTTCTTTTTTTACGACAGTAGGAACATGTGGGACATGCTTTTTCTAATCTTTTTTCACTTACTGCCTCGAGCGTTTTCCTCCGCACTTAATCTTCTCTCTCACCAGCATTTTTAACCCCAGCAGAGGATTTCACCACCTAGACTTATTCGAATTCATTTGGCCTTCCGCCGACCACTGAGCATGTTGGCCTTCCAGCTCCCTGGTACATACACATACCAGTGCTTTTGAACATGGGTATCGTTTGCTCTGGGGATCTGTCCACAGTGCCTTCCACAGCATAAAGTTCTAGACGTGGACTCAGATGGTGTGAAAATCGTATGGCCTTTGATACACATTTCACGGCCTGTTTTTGACACATACTTGGGGAGAGCCAAGAATTTTATCTGCTGGAGAAGATCTCAGGGAGGCCTCTTTGTGCCCTTGTCCCACGATCTCCGGCTCATCTGTGTTTGCAAATACTTGGCAGTCCATGTGTGTTTGACTCGTGCCCAGAAAGCCCCTTGGCACCTCCACCAAAGCTAGTTCATCAGGAACTGCCTGGCCGGGGTGAAGCAAGAGCCGGTGCTCTCTGTCCACAGGCATTTCTAAGTTCTTTCCAGAGCCCTCCTGGCCTTCTGACTTGTCAGACCGGCTCTCACAGTGGTTGCCACCTCATTTTGGGAAGGAACCCCTTGAAATGACAGGAAGAGTCTGGACACCTGGCAAAAAAAAGAAAAAACATCACTGAGCTGAGCCTTTCTGGGTCCCCAGTGCCGTGGGGGAGGGGAGAGGAGTACAAAAGGGGGGGGCAAAGAAGAGGGGGAGGTTCTAGCGGCAGCCAGCAAGGGGAAGATGTGCTGCTTTGTCTCTGCTCAGCTAGGTCCTGCGAACAGGTGGTATCGTAAGTTGGTGATTTTTTTCTCTATTTCTCAGCACAAACGAAAGGTATGAGGCTTGACCCTCATCCATTCCCAAAATGAAGGCACTCTAGCCTCTCAGCCTCTCATCTACCGCACACGCCTGGCCCCAGAGGTCTTAGAGCAATAAACCGGGGCTCTAAAGAGCCTGACGGAGAGGACTTGTGTCATATGAGAAGGGGGTGACGGCTACGCCATCCGTCTGTCCTGGCTGGGGCATTGTCGGAGACATAAAAGTCTTAGTCCCAACCCTCTTACCACACTCGGCGGCCTGTGTTCATTGCTCTGATAAATAAGCAGCTTGGGGAAAAGCCATCTTGACATTTTGATTTGTTAAGGCGTGATTCATTTTCAAGTCAAGTTAACAACTTGTAAACTTGGGGGTTTACCACTTGAAGTGATTAAGAAGTAAGCAGCCACAAAGCCGGGGCTATGGTTCTGCAGCTGATCGCCCCCTGGGAATCTTCCCAACTGGCGTTCAGATTTGCCTTGGTGTTTGCCGTAGCTAATCTGAGCCTCTCCCTTCCGCCACAGATACACACAGTAGATCACATAACGCCTCTTCTTGGGAACTCCAGCATGTCAGTCCTGCTATTCTCCCTGCAAGCAAATGTCCGTTCGTGGTAGCTGGGGGAGGGGAGTACTGCCCTCCACAAAAGAGAAGCTGGTGAATTTACCCACCACGCTCCCACAAGGCCTCACATTGCAAAACCAGGAGGGCTTGGCTCGGGGTATAAATAAAGACCCCGCTTGCCCGAGGGGAGGGGGATGAGGGAGGTACAGGCCTCCAGTTACGGAATGAGGAAATCACAGGAATAGAAAGCAAAGCATAAAGAATATAGTCAGTAATATTGTAATAGTGTTGTAATGGGACAGATGGGAGCTACACTTGGGAACACAGCACAATGTATAAACTTGACAAATCGCTAAGTGGGAGGCCTTAAACTAATGTCACAGTGTGCGTCAATGCTACTAAAAAAAATTAATAATAATAAAAAAAATAAAGAGAATACAACAATAAAGACCTGGCTTTTAAGGAGCTAATCCTTAGACAAAAATAACTTCACACAAACATACAAAATAGCCCCTCCGCAGTGGCCAGGTACGGGGCCCCACTAGTCCTAACATTGCGGGGTGGGGGGGAATGAAGCAGCAGGTCCCCACCCCCAGCCAGGCCCATGTTTGCCCACCGGTCGGTGAAGGGAAAGGAGCTCAGGACAGTGCAGGGACTTGCCCCACGGGCTGGTAAGTGAGCAGACCAGGGATAGAACCCAAGCTTTCCTGGTGCCAGAACCCAGGCTCAGTGTGCTCCTTCGGTCGAGGGCCAGAGAGTAAAATATTTCAGGCTTCGCGGGCCGTGAAGCAACTGCTCAGTGCTCTCAACAGCCGATGACTCTGTATGCAAGCAAAGGGCCATGGCTGTGTTCCAGTCAAACTTCATTTACAAAACACTGGGCCATAGTTTGCTGACCACTGCCCACCACCCTGTCGCCTTCCTGAATTCTGCAAAAAGCAAGGTCAGAGCCTAGGGAACCTTCTGGAAGAAGTGTCCATGGGCGCTGGACTGTGTGAAGTTCAGCCAGTGCAGGTGGCATGAATGAGGTTTGGGGCTGGCTGGGTGAGTGTGCTCAGGGAGTGGAGAGGTTTGATGTGATTGGCTGGGAGGGTTGGGATCCCCACTCTCAGCTAGAAGGAGGACATGTCGTTCCCCCCCCCCCCCCCCAGTCCCCACTCCAGTTTGGTGCCACTTCAGAATTACAGGGCAGAAGCATCATGCTTCACAGAGCACCTTGAGCATGGTCCTGCCCAGCTTGTGGGGGCTGATGCAGAAGCCACCACGGTCCACATAGCCCCCTGGGATCATCAACAAGACTTTTGCTCCATGGGAGCTTTCCTGCATTTAGTGAATGAAATCAAATCAGAAGCTATGGCCCTTTAGGAAAGCAGGCCATGGAAAGGACAGAAAGCCATGGTCTGCAGGAAAGGGGCTCCCTGTGTGCGAAGCCCTGTGTCGCACTGTACCCCCAGTACAGTGCAGTGACAAGAACCTAGTGATGACACTCCCAGCTAGCAAGGGGGTGGTGCTAGGCACGCGTTCTGGTGTTTCTGCATGGGGAGCAGAGCTTGCCCAAGTCCGAGTGTCCCAGCTCCCTCACTCCCTGGTGCGGGAAGGCCATGGGCCTCGCAAATGTGCGGTCCCCATCTCTGAAGCCAGAATTGCTCCAAGGGCCGTGTGGAACTCTGCAATTGGGAGCTCTTCACCAGAGCTGAGCAAAACCTGTGGCAGGGAGAGTCTCAGGGGCTCCTCCCCTCCTGCCCAGTGCCCTGCCTTTGACAACTCGGGCACGTTAGCGAAGGCCCCAAGATTTTGCTGTGAGGCTGTCCCGAGTCCCACCAGGATGCCTCTGAAGCCCCCAGACTGCGTGTCCCCTTCAAGACCACAGCCAGCCCACATCGCTGAGCCAGCGTCAGGCACTCTGATGAATGGCTCACGGCCCTTGGCTCTATGGCCGGCTGCACCCTCTTCCTTGAAACGGCTTTGAAGTGTGTCCAGGTTAGGCCCATGGCCAGAGAGGTCGGCTGGGGACTCTTCAAGGGGCTGGGTTGGATTGGGGGGTGTAGCCTTTAGGTTAAGGTCCCCCAGGCCCCCCTTTGAGGTGCGGCTTGCCCTGTGGCATCTCCCACGAAATCGGGGGGTGTGGCACCCCCTCCTGCTAGGCCAGCTTGTTTCTTCCCGCTTGGTCACCTCACCACTTACCTTGCAGGCTTTGCCGTGGCCCAGTGCATAAACCAGCACAGCTTGCCATCCCTGTCCTCGCCATCTGCCGGCGGCGGGAGCCCCAGCGGCAGTGCGAGCACCAGCCACTGCGACTCTGGAGGTACCAGCTCATCATCCACCCCTTCTGCCACCCAGAGCCCATCAGGTATTGGCCGCGTGATGTGGTGCGGGCGGGGGGGGGGGGGTGGCGGGGCAGCGACTTTGGGGAGCTCTGTGATCCCTCCGTGCTGAGACCGCTGACCCCCAGCTCGTCCTTGCCGCCACCGCCTGGGGTTCTGCGTTCCTTCTGATGTGATGGCTGGTCTAGCTCCCCGTAGGGGAGGAGTCACTCCTTTTGCAGGCTGGCCCCCCCCGCCGAGAAAGACCTTCCCTGACTGCAGGGCTGGAGGGGATGGACGGCTGCCTGCCGAGCCTGCATCTGCCCCATTATCACCTCCACGAGGAGGGGTCTCCCAGACCAGAGTGTGTGAACCTGGCAAAAGCCTTGTGTCCATGCTAATTTGTTCTTTCCTTCATAACATACCAGTTTTCTCTGTAAATGTGTGCAGTCCAGACGTCTGTGACCAGGGGTACACCCTTTGGGAGTCTTTTGGGATGAGCTAGAGTCCTGTCTCGCCTTCCTGGGCCTCAGACAAGGGCAGGCGTTGCACGGGCAGACCCCGTGAGCAGGGGGGCTACAGTGAGATGAGTGGCAACCCCCTGTGTTCTCAGCCACCATAAGCCCCTCACACGTGGGCACCTCACTGTGCCCAGTGAGATCCCAGGGGCAAGGCACCAGGCTTTTTTCCTGAACTCCTTGGCTGCACAATGCAGCCAGATGGAGCAGGGCCCAAGCAGGGATGCTGGAGAGGGGCTTGGGGGGTGCATGAAGCTTCACGCCCCAGCAGCAAGACTCCATGGGTCTGTTCTGATTTGGGAGGCCCCCTCATTTGGGGACCCTCGGTGTCCTTCGCTGTTCCTTCAAGATCCCATCCAGAGCTCTCACCTATCCTATCTCAGGGCACCTGACCAAACTCTTGTCAGGCAGCAGATTGGGGGGTTCATGATAAAAGCCACGTGCCAGGAGACTAAGGACCCCCGGCTCCTGTTCTCTCAGCACTGGAGCCCACGATCTCCTTCGATGTACGCACCTCTCCAGGATTGTCAGCTCCCACATTCCCCAGCGAAGGGTTAACCCCGCCTGGTCTTGCCTGCTGCCTGCAGCCCCCTCCTCCCACCAGCATCCATTACCTCCAGCTACTATTGACATCCCTGAGGCCCAGGCGGCAGGGTCACCCTCACGCCACCTCACTTAGACCTTCTTCCACTCAGCACCTGCTCCTCCCCCTGCCCCCTCCCCGCCCCAGCTTGGGGGGAGGTGGCCGCCTTGTCTGAGCTGTTTCTGAGCCCCATCTGAGGTTGGCTGCAGGTGTTGCTGCCGGTCCCAGGCCCACAGCGGGACATTCAGACGGCGCTTTCTCCAGAAGCCAGGAAGAGCCCTCCACCTTCCTCTGCAGCCTGATCTCACGCTGGCTCTGGGGACCGAAGGGCAGGGTTGTGTGTTCACGGGCTTGTGTGTGCGCCCACGTGCAGCCTGCATGTGCACGCTTCTGTGTCTGTGTCGTGTGCACCCAAACACACTTAGACTTACGATTGCATTTGGGGTGAAGGTCTCTTCCCGATGGAGCTGTGTACGCCTTTCTTTCATGTTTAAGAAGGCACAGACAACAGCTAAGCAAACAAACGAGCCGTGTACTTCTTTGCCTAAAACTGAAACCAGCCAAGACCCACAATCGTCAAAATCAGGTCTGTGTTTGCAGATGTTCACGTGAGCGCGGCCCCTGGGGCTTCGGCTCTGCACCTTCCCCCAGAGGCTCAGGGTCCCCAGGAGGCGCATTTCTTTTCTCTTGGCCTCCCTCAGCCCCTCCGTCCCTACCGCCACCATCCCCCGCACGGTGCCAGTGACCTGTGTTCTCATCTGAGAAATGCAGGGGCTGTCAGCCTGTCAGGTAGCCAGGCAGCGCCAGTTGATAAGTGATGGTCAGGCTCTCCTGGGTGTCTGCCCCCGTTCCGCGCATCCCCAGCAGGCCTGTGGAGGCGAGTGTGCGAGGCCCCATTTTTTATGCTGCCTGACAGTAAAAGCTTGTGGCCCAGCCTGCCTGTCCGAATCTCTGCAGACACTGAAGTAACTCACCCCCTGACGAAGGGCCAGCCTGTCAGGCAGCCTGCCCTTCACTCTCAACTGAGGACCCAGCTCCTGATCCCTGGAAAGAGAGAGCATCGGAACCCACGCGCTGTTCCCTGTCACAGGGAACAGACCAGAGTCACAGGCTGGGGTGGCAGGTCTTGGGAGGGCCACCATTCACTCGGCCTCTCAATGGCCACCTTCCAGGCCAGGCTCTAGCCTCCTGGGTCCCATCCACAGCACAGCACAGGAGGTTTCCGTGTTCCTCCTAAGGGCAGGCCTCCCCAGATGGTGCCGCCACGCGCCTGCTGTCTCCCCAGGCTGTGCTGGACAGGAAGCTGAGGCTGCAAGGGAGGTGTTGTCAGGACGGATGCTCTTTGGCCACTTTCCTGGGTTGATGTCGGCCCGGAGCGGTGGCCCGGTGTTCAGACTTCTAATGGGCAGAAGCTCTGCCTGCGGGATCTGGGCATAGTCAGCCGGCGGCGGCATCCTGCAGGGCCAGCTGGGCAGCAGGACGGGCCGGGGCCTCTCCCTGCAGCCCACCCAGCCGGGACAGCAGAAGACAGCTGCGGCCCAGTCAAGGGGCCACTTGTCCTCCCAAGTGGTTTTGGAGGACACAGTGCTGAATCCGAGGCATTCCTAGCCCTGTACTTCCAGGGTCTCTGAGTCCAGGAAGTTCCCCGTGGGGAGAGCCGCTGCCAGGCCCCTTGCAGCCAGAATTAGCTCCGCTGGCTTCTCTGCTCTCGAAGCCACACTTTGCACGGGCAGGTGTTTGGTCGGGGAAGCAGACGAGAGATGCCATCCGTCAGGGGACGAGACAGGCCCAGCTTTCCGTGACTCTGCGGCTTTGAACCCCGGAATTATCCAAGGATATCTCTGAGAGCCAAGGGTGAGCCTTACACTATCCTAGCCATAGATGGGGCCCAGGCACCCACTGCACACCCTTCTCCAAGCACATGTGCTGTGTGCTGTGTACCCGCTCCATCGAGGCCCAGCAGGTGTACCTCCTAATCCCCCCGTGTGCTGGGCACTGTGCTCACAAACACTGGACAGACACCCCCTCGCTGAGACTTGCCACCCTCCACCTCACGCTGTACAGTTGAAAACACGGGGGCTCAGAAGGATCCCACGGCTTGGCCACGACAGTGCAGCCAGGAAGCCGAGGAGCCCACACACGGGCCCCAGCCTTAGTAATTCTAGAACCCATGGTCTGCCTTGCGAAATCACCCCGCAGAATATCCCTGCAGTTCCTAAGTCTGTTTCCGGTGCCTCCGTGGGGCGCTGCAGAGCCCTGGACCTCAGGTTCAGATCTCTGTTGGAGGGCAGCCCATGGAGTGCGTGCATTTCTCCTTCCAGTGTGTGTGCTTGCTCTAGAAACCACACGAAAAGCCACAGCCCATGCACAGAGACCCTGGCAACTGTGCCACCCCAGTCAACCAAGGCTGAGCCATGTGGCCCCTGTGGGAGAAGCCTGCTGGTCCCCCGAAGTCAGCAACACAGTGGACCCCAGAGGGCCCCATCTCCTCTGCCAGCCCAAATGGGGTCATCCCCAAATGAGGGCGTAAAACTCTTTTGATACTTAGTTATTTCCCACCCCCACCCTCTGTCCAGCCCAGGGGACCTCAAGTTTTCTGCCTGGGTTTGCAGGAAGCCCTTTTTATCCCAAATACAGATTTTTTCTCAGCTGCCCACGGGACCTTGAGTCGGAGTGACTCAGGTTTTGTGGATGTCAGACCTGATCTCACTAGGGTCCCTCCAAGGGTGGCCCTCACGTCTGGCCTCTCTCTGCATCTCATCTCTGCTGGCCTTGGGGCCCTATCTCCACTGCATTAACATTTTCTAACCAAACAGGTTTTTGTTGAGTCCCTGCTATGTGCCGGCACTGGGGATAGAAGGTGACAAAGGAATGCACAGGCTAGCAGGGGAGGCCAGGGTCTACCAGATGACCGCACATAAGTGTCCAGTTGAGAACTGTGACAAAGGAAAGGTGCAGGGGGCTTGGGCAGCACGGAACAGCAGTAGGAGGGGCCGGCAGACTCCCAGAGGCAGCAGCCGAAGGCTGAGGGGTTAATGAGGACAGCGGTCTGTGAGGAGGGTGGCCTTAGGTCTCACACAGCCCCCCCACCCCCTCCAGGCTGAGCTCAGCCTCTGGCAGGAGACAAGTTGGTTTCTTTTCCCTCTTTCCCTGGGGTCTACCCATAAATGCTGCCCTTCCAGATACAGACCCCAAGGGGCGGCCTGTTTTTGAGGAACAGCGCATGTGCCCATGGGGGCCTAAGCCCGTGGCCCAGCGCTGGCAGAGGGCCCCTCACCACAGCGGGAAGGGACCCGCCCAGAGGGTCACTGGTTTGCCCTCTGTGCTGGGAGCACCTGCTTCTGAGTCTCCTCCTCATGCCAGGGACAGAGTGTGGATGCTTGCGAGTGGCTTTTTTGCAAGTGCTGGACCTCAAATCAGGGCCAAGAGACACCTGGTTACCAGGTCACAACTGAATTCCCTGGTAACCAGAGAAACCAGCTAGAAGGAGTTGGGAGCAAGGGTATTTTATTTTCATGGTTACTTATTCACCCGTTAAGGCTGTGCCGAGGGAATTATTGTCCAGTTGTAACAGCTGATGCGTGAGTTGACCTGTTCCCCTTGTCCTTTATATAGAAAGTGCAGTGAGACCCTCCAGCCTTCCTGGGGAGACCGGTGCCCTGGGCAGCCTCCTGGGACCTGGCATCTTGTTGCCCACTCGTCCAGTGCAGCCGGCCTGATAGGCCTCAGCTTGCTCTTCACTGAGAAAATTATAGAGGTGGAATTAGCAGGCGTTTTTTTCCTTAAACACTTGATGGTTTTGAGAAGCTGAAATTGCAGAGAACCTATGGCGGGAAAGAGAAAATAGACCCAATGTGGAACCAAATGTAGGGCCGGTAGGAATACTTTAGAAAAGCTTTCTGGGTTACATCCCGTCACACGCACGTACACACGGGCAGATGCACGCTCACACCCACCCAGTGCACACGCTTGCAGCCACATGCCCTGCGTGGGGCTCAGATAAGAGACCTCCTCAGGATCGAGCTCTGTGACCGGCTCTGTTGTGCCACACAACGTTCGCGTGAGCTGCTTCGAGGAGAAAAGACAATCGTTCGTTAAAAAATGAAGTCAGCGTGAAGTCCAGTCTGCTCTTTCCGTCGTCCGTTTTTAGGGCCCGTGGAATGAGCGCTTTGACCTTACCCCAAGGTTTTCTAGGAAGAAGGAAGGGTTTGGCCCTTGGAAGCCCCGTGTTGAGGCCTGGCAGGGGCAGGGTCCTGCTCTCCCCATCCTCATCTGCCCCCTGGGCTGTCTGAACACATGACCTTCTCCCCAGCACTCGGTCCCTTTCGGGCCCACTGGGAGCCAGACAGCCCAGGACTGACCCGCGTGTCACTGAACTCAGTTACCGGTCAGGCGGGACTTGAAGGACAGAAACCCCGAGCAAGGCATGTTCTTTTCTCCCCAGTTTTCTCCATGGCATTAATTTTTTTTTATCTTGGTGAAATACACATACCACACGATGCACCATCGTAACGACTTTTAAGCACATAGCCCCGCGCCGCATTAGGTTATATTCACGTTGTGTTCTGTGGCATTAATTTTCAGCTTGGCTCGAACTTCAAGGTTATGTCCGAGAGTATGGTTCCTTCCTTCCCAGGGAGATGCTCCTAACATTTTTGTTTCAGCCGATTAGAAACCCCCTTGGCTGCTCGGCACCTGGTCTCAGGCCTTCCTGCTGTGGCTTGGCCTAGGTCTCCAAAGGTGCAGAGCCGCCGAGTGTCTTCTGGAGTGTGGCTGGGGAGGGGTCCAGGGCTTGCCCAGAGCTCCCCGAGCTGTGTTGTTGGCTTTAGTGTGGTGACATCAGGAAGCTCGGGGCCTCATTGGTCGGGGGGCGGAAATCTGCTTGTTTCTCTAGCCCGCTGGGCTCCCGTCCCCCGGCCCCACAGCCTTCCCTCCTCGGACGGTCCCAGGGAAGCAGGGCCCTCGTGCTCGCTGCTGGTTCACATGTGGATCTGCCCGGCTGCTCTGTCCCTCTGTCCCTGGACGTTTCTCACCAACAGACACCACGCATGGCCAACCACCCCCAGTCTTTCCTTTCCAACAGGACTGAGCCGTCGCTGTCTTGTCCCTCGAGTGAGCCCCATGAGTGGGCACACGGTTGGGCCCCTCGCCGTGGTGACGGCGCCCCGCTCCCCTGGAGCTCTCGTCCGGGCCGGGCGTCCGTCACCGCTCCGCGCCCCTCTCCGGGCCCCCTTTCTCTGTCGCGCGGTTGAAGGCTTTCTCTGACCTGTCGCTGTGTTTGCCTCTAGTCAGGAATGGCAGGAAAGGACGCCGGCGAGTGTTCAGCCTGTCGGAGGCCGACAGTCACGGTGGCCACTGGGTTTAGTGCTTCCAACGGCAGCTGACACGGCACCTCCCGCAGGCGACTCAGGCAGGTCTCGTCCGCTAGCCTGCGCGGCCCACACGCCCCGCCGCCGCCTTCCCGCGCCTCGGGGGACCTCGCGGGGCCTCGGGGGACCAGGCCTGTGCCACCCCCTCCAAGCGGCCATCTCCCCAGCTTCCCCGAAGCCTGTTCTTCCATTCCCCTGCGACCTCACCTGGGCTGGGGCCCGCATCCCCTGCCCTCGAGCTCGGGCAGCCTGGAAGCGCCGTCCTTCTCCGCGGACCACCCAGTGGTGGGGGGGGTGGTGTTCTCCAGCCCAGTCCGTGCGGGGGGGCCCCTGCGTTAGGCCACGAGGGTTGAGCAGCAGATTTTGCAAAAAGCAACCAAGAAATCAGCTGGGTTCTCTTTTTCTTTTCTTCCCCCTCCCCCCCCCCCCCACCCTCCCCGACCTTGCTCAAAGCTCAGTAGTGGATTCAGTCCCGCCTCAGCCAGGGGCCAAAGCCGTTTCCCCCACAGGCACGGGTGGGGCAACTCCATATCACACACACACACACACACACACACACACACACACCCGCCCCGTACTTACATGCAGTGCTCCAGGTGGCCACAGACGCCAGCTCCCTGTCCAGGGCCCCTCACTGCTGCCTGCCCCCCACCTCCCCCACCACCTTCCCCACCTTCCCTTTAGGGTTTCCCATGCGGGCCTCCCACTCGCCAGTCTGCGGGAGCCTTTTGCTTTCTTTTGCATTTAAAAGCTGCTTCTCTGAGCTCTGCCCTCTACCCTGCTATGCTCTGCTGCCCCCCCACACACACACCACACTCAGTATGCTCTGCTGCCCCCCTACACACAACACACACACACACACTCAGTCCCACTCTCCCAGCTTGAGCACAACAACCCCAAAGTTTTCACACACAACACACACACACACACACACACACTCAGTCCCACTCTCCCAGCCTGAGCACAGCAACCCCAAAGTTGTCCTGGAAACCATCACTCGGCAAGGGCCAGCCAAGCCCCTGCCCCAAAGCTGGAAATCAGCTTCTGGAGGGTGCTGGCCAGGGACGTGGGGACCCACTGCCTCGGTGTCAGCTACGGGTAGATCCTCGGGAGAACAAGCGTCTCACAGAACCCTGGACATCCAGGACTTCCCGCTCAGGCCTCCACTCTTCTCCCTGGCTCCTGGCCAGGAAACCAGAATGTTCTCCAAATCTCTCATGTTCAGGGCCAGGCCCCTATTTGTGGCCTTCAAGCCGAAAACACCAGCAGACAGGCAAAACCAAGGGCTCAGCCCTGGACCAGAACATGTGTCTTCGTTGGGTAATTTTCCCCTGGTGAAAAAGATCTCCTTTTTTATTCCCCTTGGAATGGATACATTTGTAGATCACATTCAGGAAGCAATTCTTAGTTTAAAAAAAAAAAAAGTAAGGGTTGTGGGTGATGGGTAAGAGGTTATTTTTATCCTATAAAAAAATTTTAAAAGGCTATTTTTAAAGGAAAAAAAAACCCAACCCTTTTAATAAAAATTGTTGGTTCTTTTCTTAAAGAAGAAACCAATTTTGTGTGTGTGTAATATTGTTTGTTGGTTTGTTGGTTTTTAAATATATTTGATGGCAAATTTCCCATATCCTTGATTATGCTTATCACCAAAAACCCCATTAGGGATCAGGGAGAGATTTGCCAGCTTTTTTGAATATCTGCATGCAAATGAGCCAAGAGGGAACCCTTACAAGAAGTTTCAAGAGAACATAAAGGAAATGCTTGGCAGTTCTGTCTCCAGATGGCACAAAAGTGCCATTTGGAGAATTAGTCATTTCGGAACTGCCTTGTGAGCAGCCGAGCTTAACGTGTTGGATCCGTAGGTATGTAGGCCCGTAGCCATGCCCACCCTCACCGGAAGCCAGGTGGAAGAAGCCAGAGCAGGTGAGCCTGCACAGAGACCCACATGCTCGGATGAGCAGCAGGTAGATCGTTTGGGGCCAGAACGTGAGTCTGTGCATGCAAGGGTGTCCTCGCTGAATGGAGCGAACTCAGTGAGATTCAGAGAAACCAGAATGCTCGTGGAGTGTTTACTCAGCGTTTCTGGGCTCAGCTCACACCCTGAATCACATTTTCCGCTAGTGCTCACCGCCACCCCACCCCTGGAGCGAGGGCAGACCCAAAGCCCTGTGCAGTGGTTTTCTCTGGGCCTTATTTCTCTTTAAAAATAGATATATACATAATAACAATAAAAGGAAGGAAAACAAAAAGGCCTTAGGAAGGAATTATCTGGAATCTTTGAGAGCTTGTCTTGCCCAGGAGCCTTGGGGGAAGAAACGCCGTCGTATTCTCTGGGAAGCTCAGTCTGTTGCTTGTGCTATCTTTCCATGGTGGGGATCCTCTTCCTCTCCTGCATCCCATTCTTTATGCCCTTCGGTTTTCTTTTGCTTTTGGTTTTTCCGTTCTCTTGCTGTATGTTCAGTTTGCAGTTCTGTTTTGTTTTGGCTTAACTTGAAAAACAAAAAAAGAACCTAACTTGAATCACATCGAAGAAAACATGTCTACCATCCTTGCCAGGGTCCAGAGTGCTTTCCGACTCATGGCTCAACACCCTGTGATCAGCACCTTCTGCTGATGCCTGGTCAACCCCAAAATCTGTACAAATAAGGTATTTGCTTTCCAAGCAAGCTGCCCTCGGCCTTCTTGTCGATGCTTTCAGATTACCGGCGCTTAAAGCCCGGAGGATGTTTTCCACGGTGAGCACCAGTCTCAGCTGCTATTCCTGTCCAGGCAAACTCGTCATGGGAAAGCAGATAGGCCATTTGTCTGTAATCTCATCAAGGATTTTGAAAAGCACCAAAAAAAGAAATTGCCACTTCAAAAATAAACTGCACCGGGCGGAGCGTCCCCTGCCCTCCCGCTGCCGTGATTTCTCTCCGTGACCCCCGTAGAGACGCTCAGGATCCGAATGGCCCCTGTTTGGGTGCTAACTGAGCTCACAGGGAAGGAGCAGGAGAGAGAAACCACAGTCAGGTTTTGGTTTGGTTTGGCAAGCTGAAAAGTTCCATAGAATTCCTTTTTGTTGTTGCCATTTTGTTTTGTTTTGTTTTGTTTTTTAATATCGCAGTGAGTTCCCCCTTGGGTAAATGCTACCAAATGTAGGCTCTGGAAATGGCCTGAAGTGATAAGCACACCCAAGCCCATTTCCTCCCTAAACACGTATTTACTCATTGGGCAAGTGGTCCAAGACTCTCCCTTAACAGGGAGCCCACCCGGGCCGCTTCCTGGCACCATAATCTGCCCATTGATTCTGCACAAGCCCCTAATTGTTTTCTCACATCACAGGTCAGGGTAACCCTGGGCCCTGATAGATTTCTCCCCAGGCCTAGGGAAGACTGGATTTACCAGCTCCTGTGTCCCCAGAAGGAGGAAGTGGAGACAAGCTGTCCCCCCCAGAACCACCATCTCCCACCCAGATATCCCTAGGCCTTTGTGCAGGACGGGAGCAGTGTGTCCCGGGGCTAAGTGTACCCTTGTTCTTTCTCCCCCCGCCCAGATGACCCCGTGACTATGGAACAGCTTCAGCCTCATCTTCCCAGCCAGTTGGTGATCGTCAATGACATGGACGCAGAGGCCAGGCCCAGCAAGAGCCTGGCAAGGAGCGCAGACGCGGAGACAGTCAACCTGTCCCCCAGCCTCATCCCCGCCCAGCAGCCCACCATCTCCCTGCTCTGTGAGGACACTGCCGATACGCTGAGCGTGGAGTCGCTGACCCTCGTCCCCCCCGTCGACCCCCACAGCCTCCGCACCCTCACCGGCATCCCCGCACAGCTAGATGAGGAGGCCGCACACCCGGAGCCTGCAGGCCCCGCCGGGCACTGAGCGGGCGCCGAGTGGCCTCCCTTTGTGTGTGGGCCTGCTGGCAGGGACCCAGTACAGCGGACTCAGAGACACATCGGGAGCACCCACAGTCCCCGCAGCCCCAGGAACCACGGCTGCCATCTCTTCTCGCGCACCTTTGCTCCGTTTGAATTTCCCATTTCACTTTGCACCTCTTAGAGAGCAGGCTGGACCTGGGGGAGACACCCCCGTGAACCCAGATGACCAGGCAGCTGCCTCGGGGAGGAGGGTGGCCTCCTGGTCTCTGAGCCTGACGACCCTGGGGTGGCAGGACCCCCGCCCCCTCTCTTCATCAGCCAGCTGCCCTGGTCTGGAAGCTCTTCGGCCACCACGCCCAGTGTGCCCATAACAACTGGACCAAGTCACTTTGGGTAGAAATTTGTAGAGAAACAAACTTTGATAAGCATCTCCTTTGGATATTTATTTCCGCTTTTGGCAGCAGATAAAAAGCATTTATTTAAAAAGCATCTATTTAAAAAAAAAAAAAAAGAATCCTCAGCCCTTAAGGTTTGACGTCATGTTAAAAGTATAATATTACTGTTAAGATTTCATTTTCATTTTCCCTCGAACTTCCCAGCGTTGTGTTCTAAAGCTCTCGGTCTGGCTTTCCCCATTTCCTTACTTCTCTAGCACTCGCTAACTCTGCGAGCCTGTGGAATGATAAGTACCTTCCTGGAAAGTTTAGCTTATTTTTTAAACAAAGATAAGGGAGATACATGTATTCTCAGGTACACCCAGAGCTGAGAGGGCCAAAAGTTTCTCTGTCGCGGTAGCCAAGGCGCCTTGCCTTGTTCCCTGAAAAATCTTCCCAGGAAAGGGGCCAGTGCAGCCAGCTCCCCGCTCAGGACCCATCCATCTCTCTGGACTGAAACCAGTCAGGACGGCTTCCCAGCGTCACCTTCAGTTCTTGCCACCTCTCTTTGTCTAGAGAGAACCATCTGGGACCGCGCAGACCCCGGCCCCGTGGCTGTGATGGAAAGAGGAGGCCACAGAGGCCATCTTCCACGTGGCCTGTGCCCAACCGCGTGCGTGCAGGCTGCCGTGCGGGGCGACACCCAAGGGCCAGGTCCCACCCGCCACAGGCGTGTCGACCAGTCGTCCTGGGAGCTCAGGTGTGCCACTCTCCCTCTCGGCTGCCGCTGCCGAGACACAAGCTGATTTGTAAAATGGGAACCCCCCAGTTGCTTCTCGATTTGAGCCGGCTGCGTGCGGGCCGGTTCTCCGACATATCTCATCGTGCACCTGCGCCGTTCCTGTGTGCGTGGCCAGGCCCAGCCCGGTGACCCTCGCCTCTCCCGGGTCGGCGCCAAGACCTTCCACACTTTCCTCCTCGTGTGCCCGCCCAGAGTGCCAGCACACCCGGGCCCGGGGACGGTCGGCCTGTTCAAGGACCGCAGGCCTCATGGCCTCCCTCTCACCCTGCGGTGGCAGCAGAACCCGCCAAGGAGGGCCGTGGCACCCGTGGGGACGGGGCTCTCCATCAGCAGAAGCCCTCTGCGCAGCTGTGCCCGCCCCGCTTCAACGGGGAAGAGACCCAGCCCGGAGAAGGCGGCGTGCCGGCAGAAATTCCAGGGGCCTCAGCAGGAGGGATGAGCCATGACCATTCGCAGAGCCCCGCAGCAAGGAGAGGCAGGTGGGCTGGAAGAAGGGGTCAGGCGGTCCCTGACGAGAAAGGGCATGTCATCAGCTGCAGAGGCCTGCAGCCAGCCACCCATCCTACCGGATCCTTTGCTTGGATAGAAGAGCAGGCTGGCGCTCTGGTTTTGCAGGGACTCTGGGGCAGCAGAAATGACGGAAGGCAAGTAACTACCCAGCCCGGTGGCATTATTGTAAAGAACAGGCCCCCCTCCAGGACCACCAGCCTGCCCTCTGAAATCCAGTGGCTCCCAGCGGCTCCATGGCCACCGAGCACTGAAGGAGTTGGGGACAGCACGGCGGGAGGTCCTGCGGCAGCATTGCCGAAACCCGGAGGGTGGAGTTGAACAAAAGGTGCCACCTGCCGAGGGCAGGCGTGCCCCGGAGGTGGGCTTGCAGTGTGGGTCCTGCAGCTTGCCCCAGCAGGACACCTTTGGGCATGGGGTGGGGACTTCCTTAACCAGGGGCTCCCTGTCACCTTGCGGGTGAGGAGAATGCATGCGTCCTTGTATGAGAAGGTCTGGGGTCTACAGGAGGCAGGCAGCCGTCTTGACTCTGATGAAGGACCTGCCTTGCTAGGTCTTGACCATCATGGTGGCCGTGGGCATGCTGTATCTTCGGGAGCACCCCGCAAACCTAACAGCAGGGGCTCTCCGAGGCAGGCCAGCCCAGACAGGGTGCGCCAGGACTCTGGGGCCGGGCAAAGAGAGGTAGAGCCGTGAGTCCTTGCAGAGCAGGAGTGGGGACTGTGCCCTCCTGGGCTCAGATTTCTGGGGCCAAACTCGGCAAGCCCACGTGGCCTACCATCTGTCTCCACGTCCCACCCTCCTCAAGTCCATTGGGCCCATTGGGTTTGCCAAGTCAGGGGCAGGGTTGGCCACATGAACCCTCAGACCTCAGCTTTGAACACTGTGTGGAGATGCTATGTCCTTCCACTCTAGGGGCTCGAGTGAGCGAGGGCACCTTTTGCTGAAGGTCAGACGGGGTGAGGCCGGGAGCTCTCCAGCACTAGCCCCAAAGCCCCAGCAAGCATGTGGGGCAGAGATGCCATCCCAGGGAGGGGCGGGAGGAGGGCGTCCACCACTGCAGGCCTTCCCTGCTCCCTTTCCCTCCACCCAGCCTGTCTGGGGCTCCCTACTCTCCGCAGAAGGCAGCTCCCCCCCACCCCCAGCCCGGGCGGGAGTGAAGAGACCTACCTCGTTAAAGACATACACTAGATTTCTCTAAGGTCTCACGATGCACTGTTAGAAATAAAGGCACGGCGTGAACGGATTCTCACCTTCTTCTCTAGATGCAATAAATAAGAAATACTTAATGTAGTCATGTTGACATTGGGTATAAACTATCAGGCTTCCTTATGTTTGTTCCCCCTGAGGTGAAAATAGATAAATAATTCTTGTCCCAAGGAGGAGCAGGGGTTGGGAAGCCCTCACGCTTCTGGGCCAAGGGACCATTCCAGGGAAGTACCCGCTCTTGCCAGCGTGACTCATGTTCTGTGGGCACTGAACATGAGGGTGGAAATGAAAACTGGAACTTCCTGGTAAATTTGAACTTGGCAATAAAAGAGAGAAAGTTACCAGGAATGTGGGTGCTGCTCTGTGGCACTGTGGTAGGGAGGCCATGGCCTGGCGACAGGAAGGTTCTCTGCAGCCTCACCCCGTGGCCCGTTGCGGCGGCTGGGCCTCTACCTGCGCCCACCGCGGGCCAGGTATCCGCCAGCTCCTGGGAGGGGGTGGACCTGGGCTGGGAGAGCCCAGGGGCGGCTGGCTGCACTCAGAAGGTGCCCCATGCCCAGCGAGGTGCAGGGGGCTCTCCGTCCAAACCTCAGGTTCTGCACCTGCGGAATGGGACCTGGCACAGGAGGGCCGGGGACAGGGAGCCTCAGCATCATTGTTTGCACGTGCCGCTGGGCCGGGGGAAGTGGGAAGGGCTCGCCACCGGGGACAGAGTCCAGTGAAGTCTGTCCTGGGCAGGCACCATTCCGGAACACATTGACATGCACCTGCCTGAGCTCCGGAAATCCCTGGAAATGGGTTTACAGGTTCTCCAGCTTAAACCCGGCCCAGAAACAGGCAAGACCTTCTGGGCCTTGAGGTAAAACCTGAACTGAGTCCAGAACATAAACGGGACGCTGGCCTCGTGCCAGCAGTTGAGGCGTTTATGGCAGAAGGTGGAGGCCACTGCGGAGGGTGGGGCTCAGTTCCTCGGAAGTCTGCCCACGAGGCATGGGGGTGCCGCCTCACCCATCCCCAGAGTAGCCCTGCTTTGCAGGCACGTGGGCATGCACAGGTTTCGGTGACTTCACTTTAGAAAAAGGAACTTGCTGGAAGGATCCTCCGGGAGAAGGGGGAAGACAGGCCTCACAGGGGGCAGAACTGGGGACAGCGGGTTTTGGGGGCTCCCTCCAGAGGGGGTCTCTGGGCCAGCCAAGGGCCAGACCCCTGGGTTGTGGAGACAGGCACGGGAGTGAGGGGCGAAGGGCAGGGGCCGGCAAAGCAGATGAGGAAACGGAGGCCCTGTGGGGCTCAGCAACCTTCCCAAGGGCCCTGGAGTGCAAGCCCAGGCCCTTGTGCTTCGTGCTGCCCACGCCATCTGAGACCTTGCCTGCTGGGCCAAGTGTCCTCGGGCTGTTCACAGGAAGAAGGAGGCGAAGCCATAGTTCTCAGGTGAACGGGTGCTGGAACCATCTGGAACGTTTGTCCACAATCACAGCCATGCCCTTCCCTAGAGCTAGTCCCCGAGACCCTGAGATGTAGTCTGGCTGAAGGCCCTCTGCGCGGCGCATGTGGCCCCAGAGGGGGGGCTCTTTCCTCTTCTGCCTCCCGGCTCTTCGGGAAATGCCGGCTTCTCTTCACAGGGCAGAATCTGGAGCCAGACTCTGGCACTCAACAGCCGTGCAGCCATGGCCACTGCCAGGTCCCCTGCCCGTGCTTGGGTCTCCTCGTCTGCAAAGTAAGGACAGGACTGAGCCTGCCTTGAGGGTCGTGAGGCCAGAGGGAGTCACACAGGCAAAGGGCTCAGCTTAGGGCAGGGGGCTGGGGAGCTCTGGGCAGGACACCCTCCGTGATGGCTTCCCCCGCCCCCTTCCCAGCCCAGGCTCAAACCGGGGAAAGGCCTTGGGCTTGCTTGGTGGCCTGGGACGAGTCACTTTGCTCTCCCAGTCCCTGGTTCCTGTCTGTAAGGCAGGCTGGGAAGCACCCGCACCAGGTTCAGGGGCTTCACCCGGAGCACTGTGTGCCCTCACAGGGCAAGAAGGGGCCACCTAGTGCCTGGCGGGAGTCCGCCGGGAGCTGAGGCCTGCAGGGGTCTGCCCTGGTGCAGGTGCCTGTCCGGCCTGTCCCTGCATCTTCTGATGGCACCTGGAAGGTGGAGGAGCAGGTGAGAGTGGGCGGGCAGCATCCTGCCAGCAAAAGACCTGGGGTCCCACATTCAGGGAAGACGGCTTCCCGGCGACCGCCTGCTGGAAACCCCCTTCCCCTCCTGTCCCGACACCTCGTGGCCCTTGAGAGCGGTGGGAAAAAACCCTCCCCATCTGAAGCGCCTCTCCTAAGGAAGAGAGGTCTGAATCACCCAGACGGGAACACGTGGGGCTTCCCAGGAATTTACTCGAGGGTGCAAGAGGGGAGCAGCTAGAGGCCCCCCTGCCCTCCAGGCACCTCACCCACCCCAGAACCTGAGCGCCGTGGCCCTTAGCCCACCCTGCTCCCGGGCCCCATGCCACCTGGCTCAGCCCGCTTTCCCTCCAGGCGGTGCCCGCCTCAACACACATGAGCTATCACTCCCTCGACTCTTGACTGACCTTATAAATTCAGTGTGCTGAAAAAGGGAAAGACTTCACCACTGGAAACCAAAACACAAAACCAGCCCCACTTGCTGTGTGTGTTTCCCGGGGCCACCGTAACAAATGACCACAAACCACGCGGCTCAAAATAACACGAATGTGTTCCCACCGCTCTGGAGACCAGGGGTCTGAGATCAAGGGGTTGGGTGGGCTGGTTTCCTCTGGGGGCTCAGAGGGAGCATCTGTTCCCTGCCTCCCTCCTGGCTTCTGGTGTTGCTGGCCGTCCTGGCATGTGGCCGCCTCACTCCAGTCTCTGCGCGTGTCTTCACGCAGTCCTTCCTCTCTCTGTCCCCCAATGTCAGACCTCCGTTCTCTTAGAAGGACGCCAGTCGTTGGATTTGGGACCTCGTCTGATCCAGCACTACATCTCCAAAGACCCTATTTCCAAACAAGCTCACATTCCCAGGTGCTGGGGGTGGGGACGGGGACACATCTTTTGGGGGTGGGGGAGAGTCACCATTCAACCCACTATATTTGCCAGGAATTAAAGGTCCCGTACAAGTACGTACGATACAAGTAAATCCGCACCACCTCCCATTACTGGCCATGGGCTCCGGGCCCAAGGCCTGCCCTGTCTTTCTAATTGGGAGACCAGCGAGTGTTCGAGACCTGTGAGCACCCAACCGAGACTTCCTGTCTCATAGGATCGGAAGGGCTAATCCAAGAGAAGCAGCGGCTCAGTCTGGGACTCCGTTTTGGAAGTGTGTGTCCTTGGACGCCTTAAAATCTCCAGGCCACCAGATGCGGATGCTGCTTGGCACACACATCATAGGTCACAGGTGGTGCCAGCCATGCGTTCCGGTTTTTGGGTTGGTTTTTGTGTTTTTTGTGGGTTTTTTTTCATCTTCCTTCTCCAGTAGATTCACCTAAAGGCAAGGCTTGTGCCTTATTTGACCCAGTCTCCCCGAGGCTGTGGATAGGACCCGGCTGCTGTGGGCTGTCTCTGAATGTGTGTTGGATAGATGGATGGGTGAAGCCATTCTTGGACATAGTCCCAAATTCCCAAAGCCCCAGTTCCATTCATGTGTCTGTGCCCATCGCTCCGGCCTCGAAGCTCATCCTCTTTGTCTTCGGTCTGGTGTCTTCCAGGCCTTCCCAAGGCCAGCCAGAGACCTCTGAAAGAACCTGCCAGGGCCCATTGACAAGGACAGGAGCAGTTGAGGGCTCTACTTTGCCGCCATTAGAAATTGTGTCCCCCCACCCTCCCCAGGTGTCCGAGCTGGAACAGCTGCTGCTGATACATCCCTGCCTCCAACAGAGCCTCACGCAGGACCGAATGGCTTCAGAGCCAGCAGACCAGGTTCGGGTCCCTGCACCATTACTCCTCAGCCACTCGGCCTTGAGCGCGTGGGTAAACCGGGACTAGCCCTGGCAGTGGCCTCGGTGGTATGGTGGGGACAAGTAAGCCGAGCACCCGACACCCGGCCTGGCCTGGGGGCACCTTGCTGGAAGTCCTCAGCAGCAGCCTGGCTAGAGGCAAGGAGGGGCTTTGGAAAGTACCCGATGCCCAGGCCCCTCTCTGGTGCCTCGAGCCAGCGCCTCTGGGGTGGGGCTGAGCCATGGAGTCCTTGTACGGCCCTCAGGTGACCGAAGGGCAGTCAAGATGAGAACGAGCCTTGGCCACTCTCCATCCCGCACTGCAGCCACATCTGGAAGACCCAAGCCCTTTCCCGGGACAGGCCCCATGCACCCACCTTCCTTCCCGGCGACCCTCTCCCACCTGGGCACCTGCAGCAGCTATGCCCACGGCCACCCCAGCACTGCACGCTTGTCACCTGCCAGAGCCCATTTCCCAGAGTCAGCCCCCTGCTCTCTTCTACCAGCTTCCACTGGTTTCCTTCCTGGCACTTGTCACACCTCTAATTACTTTTGTTTAATATATTCCAAATCCCGTTGTTTTCAGCTTGAAGAATGCTGAGAGCAGAGCCAGAGACGAGGCCGTGGGTGCCAGCTGGTGTTTCAGGTGGCGATCCCAGCATGCAGGAGTGGGAGCAGGGACAGCGCCCTGGCGTCCAGGGCCCACTGTGGGACCCCCCCCTCGGAACCTCCCAGAACCACCTCGCGACTGCCTCGGAGAGCACAGGAGGTCAGGTGCCTACCGCAGACTCTCCCCGGTGGTTGAGGTGAGAAGGGCCTGGCCTCCCCCAGCTGCCCTGCCTGGGGGCCCATGTAGCCCGCCCAGGATGGCCAGCCCTCCTTCGGACGGAAGATGGGAGACCCTGCAGACCCTTGAGGGCGGAAGCCAGCGGGGCAGGGGGCCTGGCATCAAAGGCGGCTGCGGGGGGCGCTGCTGGGCCCCGGCCCCCCCACCAGACCCCCATGCCCCCACCCCCCGGCTGCACCCACTGGCTCCCCGCCCAGTGCAGCCCACCAGCAGCTTCCAGGCCACCTGAGCATGCTTTTAAAGAGAAATTGAGCCAACGTCTTCAAA